TTTGGCTTCTTTTCTTGAAAATGCCGTATTTTAGGGCGAACTTTATAACTATGAAACGCGCTTTATACAGAGGGTTTTTCCCATGGTTCTTCCTTGAAGGTTAATGACGACTATAATCGCAAACACCTCGAAACGGACGTTCAACCATTCTTCGCATCAAGGACCGGGTACTTCTGGGAGAGAAGTAACCATCCACCTTCGGATAGATGGAGGACAGCTGAAGACAGTTATCGTGGATATGGCACTTAAAGATGCTTACAAAGGTCGTAGTGAAATGTTGAGTATTGAGGTCAAATTAGCGCTTACTTTTGATTCAACGTAGCATATGTTGATTGCAGTAATTACTAGAGCTAAGTGTAGGAGAGAAGGAAGATGTAGAAAGGTCACTGTCAATGTCGAATCGTTTAGCTATACGTATAGGAGTATCTGAATAGCAGGTGGTAGCTGCTACGAAGGACGAAAACTACGAAGTTCAGCAATTGGAACAGCCAATTTCACTAACCTAGAAAATCGATTTCATTTCAAACAGCGATCAACAAATCCAAAATTCGGGCAAAAGGTAGAGAAGAAGAAGCATCGGTGTATTAGAAGTCAAGGAATTCATGAAAACCGCGTCTCAAAAGTCCTCCAAGCAAGTGAAGTCAGTGAGGAATGAGGGCAGCATTGCTCAGAGGGTCGCTATTGCCAAGTGTGCTAACAACGATGGCTCGATGCTTCACACCTGCTCAACCCATTTGCAGTGCAAGATCTGTTCCGCAGAGTTGGATTCGCTGTAGAGAAGGAGATTTGCAATGGTACGGTACCACCCATAACTTTGTAAAATGCCGCGGAAGACGCGGAATCCGCGTCTTTTTCGTCTTTTTGCTATAATTTGATTTACTGATCACTTTTCATGAAAAACTGTACCATTAGACTCAGCTCGTCGAGTTCTACACGGCTGCCGTCTAATATTTTAGAAAATTCGATTTATTAATTTCAAAGTGCTTATCATTAAACATAGGTATAACCGATTCTCGTGTACATAGTTCTCGTTCTTCAGCATTTGTTTGATAATGAAAGCACCAGCGAAAAAGTTCTTTTCAACTAAATTGTGTTTTGATTTTGAACCAAAGAAAAATATGCGGCGCACTGCTGCACGTTTCTTCACGAATTCTGTTTCCCACATTATTATGTTTTCCACTAATTCCCAAAATTAGGCGCAATCCCCCTCTGTGTAGGAAAGACTAAGCAGCTAAAGCTAGAGACCTAATCTCAGCAGTTTTTTGCCTGTCCTGTACGAGTTCAGGACAATTTAGTAGGACCCAAATCGTACTCAGGAAAGAGGAACTGAGCCAATGGTATTTTCGACCGAGAGATAGCACAGAAGGAAACGAAGGCGAGAAATTACGAGCAGTGAAGGCGCGGTGGTCAAAGGCTGTCGGCCAGACAATTCCTTGGGGAAAATATGCAAGAAGCCATCAACCAAACTTGCTAGGCTGAGTGATTACATAAGGGAAAAAGAATTCATAAGGGATGCTTCTTGGGGCGGCTGTCATTCTCTGGTTCCGAAGAGGGAAGACAGAAAAAAGTCAGAGAGTTGGGATTTTCATGCGACTGCTAGGGAGCTTGTGTCAGATGAGAGCTTTAGAAGAAAGATAGATAGAAGGATAGGATAGCTACTACAGCTGATGCTGACACCTTGGAACATCGAAGCTGACCGCCATATTTTCACCCAACTGATCATTTGCAACGCTCAATGCAAATGTACCCTTTCCTTAATCACCTCATCAAATGTCTACGAAAACACGCTGTGAATTTGCTCTTTATTGAAATGTAAAAAACAAACAGAATTAAACGATATGATCAATGTGATATAATACAAGCATATACAATCAATTTAGAGGAAGTCAAGACAAAAATGGGAAGGTAAAACAAAAGATATCCAGTAGATAAATATGATGACAGAAGAAGTCAGGTGGATAATTGAGGGAGCACTAGAAAACTGAGCGATTTAAATTTTCTACTGGGTGCCGCTAGAGATATCAGTGTGAGCTACGAAGTTCAGAATACCCGGTAGGCGAACAGTGGACGCGCAGTCGTTGCGAAACGGTTGGATGACATCAGAATCATGAGAAAACTTTGAGAAATCAGAAGAAAACTTGAAAAACGTTTAACCATATCGTATGTGTACAGACGATAGACTGCAACCCACAACCGCGCGCTGTTCAGCCATTAATCAGTCAGAAAAGGACCACATATAGTAATGGAATGTCTCACAGGAAAAGCAAAGAACAACTGCATGCACTATAATGGAACGAATACGTACAGTAAGTCAATACGGCAAAGTTGGATTTAGGTTTAGATACAAGTGGCAGCACTTTTTAAAGCAAATACCAGGGAAAACTCATCCCGAAAGGGAGGGTGGGCGAACTATTGTAAAATTCGACCACTGAATGTCAAAAATATCAAATTGTCTGTCTCGCAACAGTCTAGTCGAAGTGCCACAAGCGTTCTTCTACCACTGATGGCTCATGAGGTCATGAAAACCGTCCGCCTCTAAGCCATGGTACTCACTGCCTTTCACAGCTTTAACAGTCTATATATATACCTCAAATATAGTCGAAGAGCAATTTTTTCTGCCAAGTTTGAATTCTTCCAAAGGATTCGGAGCGCTTGAATCAGATGAAAACTGTTTCATTGAAAACGAAACCTAGCTAAAGCGGCCATGTAAGGCGGTCGAGGTCCACTAGCTTTGAAAAATACTGGAGATTTCATACTAGAAAAAGAAAAGGGAAACAGTAAGTCAGAAGTGCATTTTTTGCGCCGAAGCCGTGGAACAAGCTGAGAAATGGAAAGAGCATAGGGACGAGCGAGACGTAGGCACCAATGCGTTCACAGCAGTGTCTAAATGAGCGTGCCCTAACGAACTTTTCAAGCATTTTGAGTCTCGAAGGAGGCACTAACTCTATGGTTGCGGACCGAGCTATTTAGTCATGAGAGGAGAATCTACCCTCGAAGCAACAAAGTGCGAGGTAGGCCGGGTGAAGGAAAAGTGACAGTCGCACCTTCCAGGAAAAATATATGGATAACTTGATGATTTAATCAATACGTATGTTCTGTACAGTTCAAGCAAAATTGGAATGTTTTCAGATTCACAAGCATATTGCACTCACCCCGCCATCCCTCTGCAAAACACCATTAAAAGGAGATCATTGCTTTTTGTCAGGACTCGTTGGCGGTATGATTTTGCGTTCAGTCGATCTGGGCGGCCGATGGGGTTCAGCATCGAGGATAATCCTCTAACGAGTCAAAAGCGTCGCTAGCAGAAGGAGGAGACCACCCTTTTGGCGGAAGAATTGGCCTGTGTCCACGTTATGGTCGCTGATGGCCGGCGAAGGCGTACGGTCACCACGTTGACCACCGCATGCGTCGCACGGTGACGGGCCAGTGGTCTGCACGTAGACGGAGATCTGCAAAGGCTACGGTAAAGTGTGTCAAGGCTTCATTAAGAATCTGCCTCCGGTCGTTATTAGTACCAGTGACACAAAAATTTACCTTGTCATTCAAATCCATCGAAAATTGATCATTCTTTGGATCTGTCCCGAGCAATGCAGGAAGCGCAGGAGCCGAAGGCGCTACTCTGTTCCCGTAGCCGGGTTTTGTCCATTCGGCTGGCTCGCCCTTACCGAAGAACATGAAGTAGACGTTGCAGATGCTCATTACGACACCATGCACTATCCACACATACCTGAACAGAGAACGGTTGAGGTGTACCGTAATGCACGAATTTTGGGACATCTAAAGGCAAGCCACGGGACAAAACCTGTTGATAAGAATGATTCCTAGTGGTGGACGTAGACGCACCGCCCGACGGCACTGCAAGTGGAAATTATACTAGATTGATCTTTGGATGTTGAAATTAAAGACCTTAAGCCTTCAAAAAGGCCGGAATAGTGCTTGCATGGCCGAGGCGAAGCGCCAGCTCCAATATAGCACACAATCACGCGAGAAGATCACGCCGATATCGAGGTGGGTAGGGGTATCGCCTGCAGGGGGGGGTCGATGGTGCACTGACCGTAAGGCTATCGCGTTTGACCGGCGCAATTTGCGGCGGAGCCTGATGTGATCCCTTGGCAGTGGAAGACCTACAGTTTCCCGTATCCTTCGCCACAAGTCCAGGCTATCCCCCACCCGCCTCCCCCCCTGCTTCCCTCCCGCGACCAGACCCACACCGTACCAACCATCTCGTGACGCCCATGTGTCATCTACGCTAGCAAAATATTGACCCGAACAACAGCCCGCGCCCACGCAGAGCGGCCAATACAAGTTGAGCGACTGAATTCACCTCCCATCACACCGAAATGAATTATGTTGCCTGGAAATTCGAAACTTTAGAAAAAATATTTATAACTTGGACTGTTTATGATTTTTCTGCTAAGGTATTACGGTACTGTATTTTTATAACTTTGATCGTCCAGTATAAACATGACCGGTGAGTGAAATTGTAAATAAATAAATAAATAAATAAATAAATAAATAAATAAATAAATAAATAAATAAATAAATAAATAAATAAATAAATAAATAAATAAATAAATAAATAAATAAATAAATAAATAAATAAATAAATAAATAATATGATAAATCATCTCCTCAGCTCTTACAAGCGCGACTGATGCAGAACTGCGCGAATGCACCAACAGTTTGAAAGCCAGACTATACGCGTAGCAAAGTCAGCACCACAAGGGCAAATTACCATCGGCATTGAATCCTGTAATACATACGGCATTGATTGGCTTGGGGAGCCCACCGCGCTAAAATCTTATTAGAAGATCATCCAGTGGTCGTCTACCAAAGAAAAGGCTGTTTCTAACAATTTTCTGACTGAGACGGTTTCAACAGAAATCAACCAGGACCATTTTAGACTTACCGATTTCCTTTCAGCAAGCTCTTAAATTCGGTACTTTCTAGAAATTATGGCCAGGCCTAAAGACTAACGTTGGTATAACAGGCGAGTATAAAGAATGCAATTCCCATGCCTCCAATGGCCACAGATTGAAGATCTTCACGGAGGTGACCGGTCGACAACATGTGGCCTTGTCGGCCAGAACGCCGGCAAACATCTTCAGCACGAATGTCACTATCTGAATAGAAAAGGCACTGTGTTGGTAGATGTTGAATGTTTGGGGTAAAAGGGTTTGGGAGAAAAAGTAATCGCAGAAGATTGGAAAACTTTTACCACTTTTTTTTATATAAATTAGTCATTCAGTACCATGGCGGGAAGGCAGAGCTAATGTTGAGCTTAACTTAAAGCAGCAGTCATTCCAGCAAGGTGGGAGTGGTCGGAAACGACTGCAATTCCGACCACGCCCACTTAAGCTCCCTCCCTAGCGGCTTTCTGTGAGTTTTTGTTCATTCACACTTCCTACATTCTTGACTAGGGGACGAACAGCTTCCGAAGTGGGGCAAATCGCCCAAGGAGACGTAAGCAAACCAGCCCTTTTGGCGCTTCGGCTGGGACCGTATGCTGAATGTTGGGGAGGGGATGGAGTCCCCGACGGTGGACGGACCACTTCAACTCGGTCCTTAGAACCGCCACAATTTGGTGCTTACCTCAGAACTAAGCCTTAAAGAGAGGACGGGTCCGTCCCCTCTCCAAGGCTTAGTCCTGGGGTGAGCAAACCAGCCCTTCTGGCGGAGCTGCTGGACCAGCTGCACCACTTGCGTCAGTACTCTCCTATCGTACCAACCGAGTTGAAGTAAACCGTCGACCGTTGGGGACCCCATCCCCTCCCCAACATTCAGCATACGGTCCCAGCCGAAACGCCAAAAGGGCTGGTTTGCTTACTCCGAGGGGATTGCAGCCGTTTCCGACCACGCCCACCCTGCTGGGACTGTTGCTTTAAGGGAAGGGTGTTGGGGGTAACTATGACGCGTGAACTAGCAGCCTGTGAATGCCTATCAACCAATGATATCTGCAAATTAGCATTTAGCTCCACCTCCTAACCATCACTCTCAATGCCAGTGACAATTATGGAGCAATTTGTAAGAGATATTTGGACTATTCTAGTTACTGAATAAGAAACGTGGTAATCCATTGGATATACCTGCGGTATGGCGCTGAACAGACCGGTTTGTTCCACTGGGAAACCCATGACCTAAAATACTGAAATTTAATTGCTCAGGTAATCGATATATCGATTACTATCGCTTACTTTGTTGAGGTAGATTGGAGAGAATTGCATGGTAACTTGTATGCCCATAAAATTAGCAATAGCCGATATCCATACGGCAATGATAGCGTTTGATGTCACAATGGCCTAAATTATTACAGCTCTCAATCGATGAAATCGATAATCGATTTCTCAATTCATGGTGTTATCGTGACGTTATCTGTATTAGTAAGGTGAGATTGACGTCCAAGGAATGTCATAGGTTAATATCAGTTTCCAGGAATAATGATCGATATATCGATCAATGCGGGTACCGTACCTTGACGGGTAACGGCTCTTTCTCGTTTGTGCTTCCTTTGTTACGTTGAATGCGATCCAGTTCTTTCGCAGACACGAACGCATGCATTTGCGGTTGTTCTCTGTAGATCAACGATTATTTACTTATTGATTTATTGATTAGTCGTGACAAGTGACAATTACAAGTGACTACTCACCTATAAAAGTAGAGGAACAACAGAAACAAAATGCAGGTAATAATGGCATGCAGATAGTAGACAGATGACCAGCCAAGAGATGATGTGCATAACGCGCCTGCTACAGGCATCGTGAAGATGGGGCCGATCTGAAGAAGCGACAGGTGTCCCACAAATCACGCGCTGATCAATAATCGTCTGATTTTTTGTTGACGCAGCTACCATTGATACATTTTTACACAATTTCCAGGAAATATTGGAAAAGATCCTCCGCGGGTTGTCATTTCCTAAGATTGTGGAAGAAAGTCTCTAACAAGCCCCGCTTCCTACCTGGAAAAAACATGTGAGGAAGGCGATGAAGAACGCGTTCTGCTTTCCCATTGACCATTGTCGAGTAACAATACCAATGAGGGTGAATCCGGTAGAAAGGCCGGTTCCCTGAAGATCAGTTATGTGCACTGTACATTGAAGGAGTTGTA